TTAGAAGGAACATATAGTTGCGGGCAATGTGAGGCTGAATAGAACATACAAGCCATGACCTAACCAACAAATTATCCTGCTCCCATTTGGAATAATTTGGATCTTCAACCTTCAGCGAAGGAACATATAGTTGCGGGCAATGTGAGGCTGCATAGAGCATACAAGCCATGACATAACCAGAAAATTATCCTAGTCCCATTTGGAATAATTTGGATCTTCAGGCTTCAGCTTAGCTTCCTTACCAATAATAAACCCAAGCTTACCTCTTCCTCCGATTGTAAACTTAGTTGATTGAGACCATTCAAGAAAATTTGTTCCATCAAGTTTTACAGTAGTAATTTGCCCTCTAGCACTGTCATTACTTCTCAGGAGGACATAGGTAGGTATGTACACATCCTTGTGTGAGTCCATTGATCACCACCCCTCTAAAAACATTTTTCTCACCAACACTAGCTGAACACCCAAACACCTTTCCTTGAAGGTTAAACATGGACTACAACAATAAAACAAAAGAAAAGAAGGTGTTGACGGAAAAATTGGGAGTAATGTTGCTTTCCATTTAATACATAYTGATGTTTGGGGACCTTATTCTATTCCATGTATGGGTGGTTACAAATATTTCATTCTCTTTGTTGATGACTACTTGCGGTATACCTGGTTGTATTTGATGAAGAGCCGAGATGTTCCTTCAATTATAAAAGGCTTTTTTAATATGGTGGAGACACAATTTGAAAAGAAGATTAAGATTATTAGATTTGACAATGCCAAGGAATACTTTGAGAAGCACTTACAAACTTTCCTTGAAGAGAAAGGAGCAATTCACCAAAGTTATTGTCCTCATACCCCCCAACAATATGGGGTATCAGAGAGCAAAAACAGACATGTGGTTGAAGTTGCCAGGGGATTGTTATTCCAGATGCATGTCCCAACTTGGTTTTGGGGGGATGCTGCACAAACAGCTGTATATCTTATTAGTAGACTTCCTTCGCGGATCCTTCATCTCCAGTCTCCTCATAAGCTTCTTTTTCTTGATGAAGATACCTTCCATCTGCCTCCTAAGGTCCTTGAGTGTGTCTGTTTCGTCCATGATTAGAGTTCTTCTAGGTTGAAATTTGATCCAATGTCTATTAAGTGTGTCTTCTTGGGATATTCTTTAGTCCAAAAAGGGTACCGTTGTTATGACCCTCACTCTGGAAAAAGGTATGTGTCCAAAGATGTTACATTCTTTAAGTCTACTCCCTTCTTTTCCTCTTCTCGTCCTTCTCTTCAGGGGGAGAATGCTAGTGAAGATCGAACTCCTTTTTGTATGTCGATTCCTGCTCTAGTTGTAACTGGTATTATCAATCCTTCTCCTTCTCATTTTCCTCCTTGTGGTGGTAGTAATACTCCTCCCATGCCTCCTCCTATTCCTTGGTCTTGGCACCAGTGGTTCGTTAGACAAAAAAAGATGATGATTCCAAAGATTGAATGCCCATTACAATCCGACTTCCCAGACTCAGGTAATTTGGATTTTGAACCTCTTCTTGTTTCTGATACTTACGGTGAAGCTATTACTGAGCCTCCTAGTGTGGTTTCTAACCGTAACCTTCCTATTGCGCTTCGTAAAGCAAAAAGGGCATGTGCTAAATATCCTATCTCAGATTGTGTCTCTTATAATACCTTATCTCCCTCTTATTGTGCCTATATTTCTTCCATTGCTTATGTTTTTATCCCTTACAGTGTTACTGAGGCAGTGTAGTTCCCTCATTGGAAGGATGCTATGAACCAGGAAATGGAGGCGCTTAAGAAAAATCAAACATGGGAAATTGTTTCTCTTCCAATGGGCAAAGTTCCTGTTGGATGTAAGTGGGTTTGCACAATGAAGCATAAAGTTGATGGCTCAATTGAAAGGTATAAAGCTCGACTTATGGCAAAAGGATACACTCAATCTTATGACATTGATTATCAGGAAACTTTTGCTCTAGTAGCCAAGATGAATTCAATTCGAGTTGTCATGTCTCTTGCTGCCCATTATTCTTGGCCCTTGTATCAAATGGATGTTAAGAATGCCTTCCTTAATGGCGACCTTCAGGAAGAAGTTTACATGGAACTTCCTCCTGAAGTGAACATCCCTGAGAGTGAAGGAAAGGTTTGTCGTTTGAAGAAATCCCTTTATRGCCTTAAACAGTCTCCTAGAGCTTGGTTTGATAGATTCAGAAAAGCTATCTTAAAAATTGGCTTTACTCAATCTCAAGCTGACCACACCTTGTTTATCAAGAGAACAAATGGAAAAGTGACTATGTTGATAATATATGTTGATGGCATTGTTATCACAGAGGATGATATCTCTTGAATTGTTGAACTAAAGTCTTTCCTTGCTACTGAATTTGAAATTAAAGATTGGAAATCTTTGGTATTTCTTAGGGATTGAGGTCACAAGGTCAAAGAGGGGCATTTATATTTCTTAGAGGAAATATGTCCTTGATATGCTTTAGGAAGTAGGGAAATTAGATTGTAAACCAGCTGAAACTCCAATTAACCCCAATCATAAGTTGGGAGTTGATGATGGAGATGTCCTTCCTGACAAAGTTGTATATCAAAGACTTGTCGGTCGCCTTCTTTACTTGTGTTTGACTAGACCAGATATATCATATGCTGTGAGTGTGGTTAGCCAATATATGCGCAAGCCTAGGTCATCTCATATGCAAGCGATGAATAGAATACTTGCCTATTTAAAAGGATGTCCAGGAAAAGGGATGTTGTATTCTAATCACGAGCATCTCAAGGTAGAGGCTTATTCTGATGCTGACTGGGCAGGTTCTATTGATGATAGGCAGTCTACTTCTGGCTATTGTACCTTGGTGGGTGGTAATGTTGTATCTTGGAGAAGTAAGAAACAATCAGTTGTGGTGCGATCTAGTGCAGAGGCAGAGGTAGAGTATAGAGCGATGGCTCATGGAATTTCCAAATTGTTATGGCCGAAGAACTTGTTGACAGAAATGGGAGTGCAGATTGATACTCCAATGATATTATATTATAATCAAGCAGCCATAAACATAGCCCACAATCCTGTTCAACATGATCATACAAAGCATATAGAGGTTGATTGACATTTCATTAGAGAAAGAGTTACCAGTGGAGAGATTTGTTTATCTTTTGTGAGGACTGAAGATCAATGGGCTGATTGTCTTACTAAAGGTGTCTCCAAATCAAAGCTTAACAACAATTTGAACAAGTTGGGCATGAMAAATATCTATGCTCAGCTTGAGGGGGAGTATTGAGAGTGTAAGGGCATTTATGTCCTTTCATGCTTTTTTGTATTTGGGCACCTATTCAAGGGCCAACTTGTAATTTTCTTCAAATGTTAAGAAAAGGAAATTCTTCAAGGTGTGAACAGTAACACACCTAAGTTTTACTACAAAACCTTTCTTCCTCCTCCTCCTCCTCCTTGATTACTTTAACTCCATATAGTCCATAACATGGCTGCCCTAACTGTTTTCCACAGCAATCCTCCTTGCTTCTTTGGCTGTTTCATGAAGTTTGGATCAAAGAGGCCCACCACCTCCTAAGGAAAAGTCCACTTGCAACCAAAGAGGGAACAAAGATGCTCCCAAATGCAAAGCACAAAAAGGCAGAATAAAAAGATATGGGAAATAGCTTCACTATTGCATTTATTAAGGATGCACAAGTGAGGGGAAAGACACTTATTTGGCCTTCTTTTTTGTAGCACGTTGCAAGTGTTGATCTTTCCAAGGAAGACTTCCCAACAAAAGGCTTGAATTTTAGGAGGGGTCAACTTACTCTAAATTTCTTTCACCGGGAAATTTTACCCCAAAGGAAGATTGCTGAATTAAGAAGATAAAGAAAGAAGAACGAGTAAAAAATGTAGTTGAGGAAATTGACCACACCCTTGTATCTTCTACATTGTGATCCAAAAAAAAAAGTCAAGTCTGGCCAAAAGAGAGAAGAGAGGTTCATGTTCCAAATTCCGATTCCCTAAGACCCCTTCTAAACCCTAAGTCCCAATTTAAACCTGAGATAAAGAAGCTCAAAATTTTAGAAATGGGTTCAGAATTTCAGATTTGTAATTGGAAAGTACATAAAGCATAGGAAATTGGGCCTTTAAAGGATGTTAGTCTATCCACAAGTCCTCCCAAATCAAGTCTCTTAGTCCATTTCTCACATCATACTGAATAAGGTTAAGGAAAGGCAGATAGACCTCATAAATTGCCTTCCAAGGAAAGGTTGAGGTTGCAATTGGGGCCACCTTCATGTCCCAGTTGTTGTCCGAGTGGCCATGCATGCTAGCAATGACCTTGTTCTAGATCCTATCTCTTTCTAAGGGAAACCTCCACAACCACTTCCCTAGGAGAGCTAAATCCTTTTGGACTAAGTTTCCTAACCCAAGCCCACCCTTCTCTTTAGGTCTACTTCCCCTTTTTGGTGAAATATGATCATTTCTAATCCTATCTTTTCTAGTTTTCCCACTCATCCATTTCAATATTTGCACCTCTGCTACAATTATTATTTATACATGTTTGTTGACAGCTGAAATCTCTACTCCTTTCAAATTGCCAGCCCTGTAGCCATTTTATTATCAAGAACTAATCAAGGTTAATTAAGAACAATCCAAGATCCAAGAAAGATTTTAGATCAGATTACAGGAAATATAAGAGAAAGATTCGATCTTAACTAAGAAGATGAGAAAAACTTTTAAGAAGTGTATTGCTCATCATGAATAATAACTATATGATTAATAAACCAATATCATTTCAAATAAAGAATAAATACTTTTATACACAAGAAACCAGTGTACAAGTGCATTCCATTACTTGTGTGCTTAATAGGAAAGCACAGCCCTCTCATAGAAGCAATAAAAATCTTAGTAAGTCTAAATTAACAAAAAATACAAGTGCCCATAATACCAAAATGAACATAGCATCTCATAGTTTTTAAGAAAAACTAAAATGGTATTGAATAGATGAGCAAGAACAAATGTCAAAGGAGTGATCATGTAATACCAATTTTGGTATTAAGGCAGCTATTGAACTGACAGCAAAAGATGATAAAGCCCCTAGACCAACTAAAGTGTTCATGTTTGGAGCCCCCCTCATCAGGCTTTTCAGACCATCAAGGATAAGTTGGCGGCCAGGACCAAGCAATGTGAATAAAGACAAGGAAAAATGAAATCCTGTGGAATGAAATGCATGCATCCATGAAGCATTAGCTCCAAGAAAATGAGAGAGATGGCCGAAGAGGCAGACAGCACATAATGCCCAAGATACAGCAAGGTTCCGACCTGTTCAAAATAATATATAAGTAATCAATCTTACAAGCAGCACGGATAYGACAACGATATAACCTTTACAATGATTATAATTATGTTAAGAAATCTCCATTACAAATTAATGAAAAAGAAAACATTCCTTCATTTAACAAGAAGTAGCAAGATATATACCACTTTCTTGTAAGTGAATCCGTTTTTCATCCATCTTCCTTTCAAAAACTTGAAAAAAACTCTCCCTAGAAGAATCTGCACCCAAGTAAAAACTTAGACCAAATATATATAGACATCATGGAAAAACAGTATCTCTTAAAATCAAGTCATAGTTGAACACAGGGGATTTGAAATTTTCGCTCCAGTAGAAGCACATAACTATGAATATCTACTTACCACAAAAACTATCTTAAAGCTTTAATTGATTAGCCCACTCTTTATGTAGAGGTTTTCATATTTTAAATCCATCCCAAAAAGATACAAACAAAAAGAAATTAAAAGTTTAGTTATACAAGTAATGTTCTATCCCAGCACTAATCTCAAGACCACATCTTAACTTAGAAATTGGAATGGAGTATTGAACACTAAACAGACAAGGTAAAGAAAATCAAAGGACAATGTTAGAGATTCATTTATTTAATTGGTAACTAATCAGAATTTTTTTTTTAGAGAGAGAGAAGATAACAGATTTCATTAAAAAAAGGGAGGGATATCAGAACTATTGAGAAAAAGTTTATTAAAAGAACAAGAGCCAACTGACCCTCCCCAACAAAGATCAAATGGGAGCAAGCCCCACTGCTGCTCTCCCCCACAGTAAATAGGCATCTTAAGTAATATATACATTCTAAACCATATTTTTCTTTGAGGGGGTGGGGAGGACCCGAATGTTAGGATTACTTTCATTATTAACAACAATAAAAACATTGAAATATAAGAAACTCTATGATAGGCAGAGAGTGCTTGTATATAGAAAGAGACTATAACACCAAAGTTGATTTCCAGTCCCTTCTGATTGGCATCAAAACAAGAGTACAAAATTCTCTTAGACTAGGAACCCAGTTCCTTCCAACGTAAGAGATCATATCAACAAAACCCTATTGTAGAACAGCATTTATCATTGAAGATCCCTTTTTAAATTGACAAGGGACACTTTTTTGAAGATAAAATAAAAACTTTATTAATGAAACATACATACTGAAATGTATTTTCATTAATAAAAGTTCCATACTGAAATGTACAATTAAAGTAGGATTAGAGCCACAACATAGTGTCCACATATGCAAGATACAAGCAATACAAGGCTTTCATAATATCCTCACACTCCACATTAAAGTCCATTCATCTCATGTTCTTAAAACTTTGTATGCCAAAGTCCATCTATAAGTGATAATGTTCCTGCAAATTCTTTATAGGGGTTTTGATGAGCCTTTAAACTTCAAAGATTATCCAGACACACTCATTCCAAACCCCCTTTCCCCTCCCCCAAAGAAAAAGGAGGGGAAAAAAGCAAATGGGATTATATTTGATAGAATTTGCCTACAAGCTTCAAATAGATGGCCAAGACTACAACTCATAAGACCAAGACAAAATCCTCCAATGAGAAAATTTGAAAAAAGAACCCCATCTATCTAGTCATACTTCTATTAGGAACAAGTGTCTAACACCGACCTTGGCATCATATGTTGACTTGTTGAGTACCACCTTAACGCCTAATTCAGCTCCTTGCTAAAAAAAGCTGCCAACTAGCCCTCTTGGCTTATAACTGATACAGAACTTGGAAGATATTGAATGAATTTGTCCATGTCTCTTGACCATCCTTTGGATTGCAAACTAAACTCTCTCGTTCTCTGTACACATCATGAAGGGGAATGCAATACAATCACAGCCTAAGATCAAAGCATCACATAAAGGACCTATGCCTACTTCACTGTGTAACTGTGGCAGGAAAACCAGGGAATTGGAGAGGATTTGAGGACAAATTTGTGCACTCCTTGTGGAATATAAACTTATACAAGAATCTTCAAAGGAAAACCCCAGAAAAATGGATTCCCTAAAAGCATCAAAGATGTTATCAAGAAAATCTGGACTAGCAAACAGCCGCCAGRAAAAGAAAAGACCAGAGGTGGAGAGACTAATTCCCGACATAGAAGGAGATATAGAATTTAGTGGAAGAGGGGAGATAAGGAAGTTCTCTTAGGGGCCATGTAAACTGAGGTGGGTATCAAAATCTTTGTTTTTCCATGAAAATTATCAGCTGGAACATGAGGGGCTTAGGCAATGCAAGGAAGAGAAGAGCAATAAAGGATCTCCTTAGAAGGGAAAGGCCAGATATTGTAATGTTACAGGAGACCAAGTTAGCTGAACTTGACAAAAGATGGGCTAGAAGTGTTAGGAAATCTAGAGGAATTAGTTGGGTTTCAGCACCTTCTTGGGGGGCCTCAGGGGGTTTGTCACTTTTTGGAGAGAGGGTTTTGTGGAGGTAGTGGAGGAATTAATAGGAAGTTTCTCGGTATCCCTTAAGTTTAGAAGTGTGGAGGATGGCTTCAGCTGGGTACTAACCAATGTGTATGGACCATGTAACTATAAAGAAAGGAATGAATTCTGGTAAGAATTATCAAGGATTTGGGATTTGTGGTAGGGGTTATTAGAGTTCGGCCTGCCTGTTAGAYTGATAACATTCAAGGAAAAGAGAGAAGAGAGAAGAGAGAAAGGAGAAGAGTAGAAGAGAAGACAAGGAGGAAAAGGTCTGGTTCGAATGAGAGAAAAGTCAACTCTCCCATTCAGCCAGATTTGTTTTATATTACTAAATTATTGTGGAAACGTCACATGTGCCCCCCTACTTAAGTTAGGGACATTAGATCTAACATAAACTTACACCTCAGCACCTAAACATAAGCACAAAGACAGAAATACCCCTACATACTCGACACTAACACTCCCCCTCAAGCTAGAGAGTATATATCATATAATCCCAGCTTGTTACATATGTAGTCCACTCTACCCCGACTCAATCCTTAGTAAACAAATCTGCCCACTAGTTCCTTGTGTTAACATATGCAGTGTCTATCACTCCACTCAGCACCTTCTCTCTAACAAAGACAGTCAACCTCTATGTGCTTGGTTCTCTCATGAAACACCGGATTAAAGGAAATATCAACAATGTATCCCATCTCCTGTAGAAGGTTCCTTAGCCACACTAATTCACAAGTAGTATGTGTCATAGCTCTATATTCTGCCTTTACACTACTTCTTGCCAAAACTGTTCGCTTCTTGCTTTTCCATGTCACCAGATTACCCCCAAGAAAAGTGCAATAGCCTGTGGTAGATCTCCTATCAGATACAGAACTGGCCCAATCAGCATCAGTATGTCCTTCTATTTCAAGTTTTCCACCACTTCTGTATATCAAACCACGACCAGGAGCCCCCTTTAAATACCTCACTATCCTTAGAACCGCATCCCAATGTCGAACCAGAGGTTTCTGCATGAACTGACTTACCACACTAACTGCAAATGAAATGTCTGGCCGAGTGATAGTTAGGTAGTTCAGTTTACCTACCAGTTGCTGGTATCTGCCAGGGTCTTGAAACACTTCACCCATATCACTGCTTCAGCTTAGTGTTTGTTTCCATAGGTGTTTCAGCTGGTTTAGCACCTAACAAACTTGTTTCTTCAAGAAAATCAAGAACATATTTCCTCTGACACAAGTTAATTCCATGCTTAGACCTTGCTACTTCTATCCCCAAGAAATACTTCAATTTCCCAAAGTCCTTTGTCTGAAAATGTTCCTGCAAAAAAGTCTTCAACCTGTCAATGCCCATTTTATCATTTTCGGTAATGACAATATCATCTACATACACCACCGATAGGATTTTCCCTACCTGAGAGTCATGACTGAAGACTGAATGGTCAACTTGGCACTGTTTCATACCAAACTTCTTTACCACCTCACTAAATCTGCCAAACCATGCTCGAGGAAACTGTTTAAGCCCATAAATGGCCTTCAGTAGTCGGCACACCTTACCATCCTCCCCCTGAGCAACAAACCCCAGTGGTTGCACCATATAGACCTCCTCGAGCAAATCACCATGCAAGAAGACATTCTTGATATCAAGCTGATAGAGGGGCCAATCATACATCGCAGCAAGAGAAACCACAACACAGGCTAAACCAATCTTAGCAACCGGGGAGAAAGTCTCTGTGTAATCAATACCATAGGTTTGGGAATACCCTTTGGCAACCAGTCTAGCTTTCAGTCGCTCTACACTACCATCAGGTAAGTACTTAACCGTATAAACCCACTTACAACCAACAACTTGCTTACCATGAGGAAGAGTGATGAGTTCCCATGTATGATTATGAGCCAGAGCTGAGAGTTCTTCTTCCATCGCACGGCACCATCCTGGAGAAGCAAGGGCTTCCTGGACATCCTTAGGGATAACAACAGAGGATAACAAAGAGATAAACTGGCGATGGGAAGCGGAAAGGTGAGTCAGTGAAACATAATTAGAAATAGGATGGAGGGTACAACTGCGTTTACCTTTCCGCAAGGCAATGGGAAGACCAAGATCAGATACTGGGGTTGGGGCTAGTGTGGGAACAACTGCCAGATCTGTCGACAATGATGGAGCTGGAGGAGCCGGTACATGTGGGCGATGTGTATACACGTGATGGATAGGTGGTCTTTCAACAGGTGGTGGCACTGGAGGCAAGGACTTGGTCACAGCTAGAAAAGAATCCACAACTGGAAGAGGAAGGGGAGGAAGTGATGAAGAGGAAGAAACATCATTGGACCCCAAGAAAAATGGAGTAGACTTAAAGAAGATAACATCAACTCACACAAAGGAACGTCGAGAGCTACGGTGATAACACTTATACCCTTTCTGAGTCCGGGAATAGCCAAGGAAGACGCACTTAATAGATCGTACATCTAACTTGTCCATTCCTGGCCCCAGATTATGAACGAAGCAAACACACACAAAAACCCGAGGAGAAAGAGGAAACGAAGACAAGGTAGGAAACAATGTGGTGAATGGAGAATGACCATCAAGGATAGATGTGGGCATCCTATTAATCAAGAAGTAAGAAGTAAGCACTGCATCACTCCAAAAAGATTTGGGAACATTCATGTGATGCATGAGGGATCGAGTTGTTTCCAAAAGATGACGATTCTTTCTCTCAGCCACCCTACTTTGTTGTGGGGTGTAAGTACATGAAGTCTGATGGATAATGCCATGTTGGTCTAGGTATTCTTGAA